ACCTATAACAACAAAGTGTATCGACCTCACAGCATTGATCTACTGACGCTCCTGTCATATCAGAGCTACAGCCTGTCACACAGTCGTGTGTGTTGTCTGTGGTACAGTGTGTCAGGCACTCTACAGATGACGTCATACAGAGAGAGAAGGTCGACAACTCACCTTTAACAACAAAGTGTATCGACCTCAAAGCATTGATCTACCTTCGCTCCTGTCATGTCAGAGCTACAGCCCATCACTCAGTCTTGTGTGTCATACGCACCTTGCTTTATCGTTTTGCAATACTACTAAGAAAGGTGGTTAAAATGTACGTGACTGTTTTTTAATTCTACAGGGTGACTGCCGGGAACCGGACGTTTTTTAAATGAATAGTACAACCTTTTTATATAGTAAAATTATTTAATTGTTGAATATAAATTGGTGAAAACATACCATTTCAAAAAACATATGTTTTATGGAACCTTTTATCATAGTTTGGGTTTATTTCTTAAAGATGATATCATGCATGTGATGGCCGTTAACCTGGATACAGGTTTCCAACCTCTGGAGCAAATCATTACGCACTCTCATCAACATGTTTTGTCCAATCAAATTCACCTCTTCGGTGATTGCATCTTTTAGCTGCAATAATGTTCGTGGTTTGTGAACATAGACACGAGTTTTCAAACACCCCCATAAGAAATAGTCACAGGGCGACAAATCTGGTGACCTCGGCGGCCACGGCACGTCACCAAAACGTGAAATCAACTTGCCAGGGAACATCTTCTTCACAACTCGCATCGATGCAGCGGCAGTATGCGCTGTGGCCCCATCTTGTTGGAAGTAAACATTTTTCACGTTTATTCCTCGCCTCCGAAGTTGTGACTTGAGATATGTTTCCAACATGTGAACAAAGCGTGCAGAATTCACTGTCACTGTGACTCCATTTTCCTCAAAAAATACGGACCAATTATCCCAAAGTGACCTACAGCACACCAAACTGTTACTTTTGGAGAGTGGAGTGGTTTTTCATGAAAGTAACATGGATTTTCAGGAGCCCAATATCGTAAGTTTTGTTTGTTCACTGAGCCGTTTAAGTGGAAGTGAGCTTCGTCGCTCATTAACATCATTACACCAGGATTATCAGTAAACAACACCTGCATAGGCTACGTACTGCGAAATCTTCTCTTTGTCCATAGTCCCTCTCTTTCAGTTGCTGTACCACCTGTATTTTGTAGGGATGAAATTTCAAATCTGATTTTAAAATTATTCTGACAGAATCGCGCTTCATGCGTAGCTCTTGTGCGTGTCTTCGTGCAGAGCGACCCGGGCTCCTCATCAAAGCAGTTCTCACTGTGGCGATGTTGTCTGGTGTTCTCACTGTTCTTGCTGGACCGGGTGGCTTTTTCTTTGATACTGTCCCTGTTGTTCTGAACTTGTGCACCCATCTTAGCAATGTATTCCGGCTCGGAACCGTGTCATTTCGCGCAATATTAAGGTCGATTCACACACATCAGTTACGGCACGTCGCAGTCCAGTCACTTCAGGCACGTCACAGTTAACAAAAATATTCCTTATTGGATTTTATATTGCGCTATCTACACTCATCCGTTGCAGTTCCGTCAGTCGCTCTGCTGGCGTCCGTCAGTCAGTTTCAGATTTCTTTCCACCGATATTTTTGGATTGTTCGGACGCCTGACGGACCTGTTTGAGGTTAGAAAATAGTGTTTTTGTTATTTAAATGATTGTGATTATATTTTGAGTACGGTTTGTAACAATTGACAAGATGGACAATAAAAATTTGATAGAATGTAGGTTTATAATTTAAAATTTTTTACTGTAAATTAATGTAAATATTAGAGACGGAAGACTGACTGAAACCAACTGACGGATAGTTGACTGATAAATTGCGGATGCAACTGAGACTGAACTGTAACTGGACTGTAACGGAACTGTGACTGAACTGATATGTGTGAATCGACCTTTAAAGTGGCGTCGGAAGATACGCTGTGTTTTGATAACGGATTTGCCATTTTTAATAAAAGTGTCATATGCAAAAACACGATGCTGAACTGACCACTGATCCATCGTGACTAATGGTAAAGCTCACTCAAAACAATGACATAATCTCAATCTCCTTAGCACGTGTAGCAACAATGTAACAGCTGTTGCAAATTCGTCCGGTTCCCGGCAGTCACCCGTTATAAGAGATAAAACTTACTCAATCCGTCAACAATTTTGCTCTATTTAAATAATCTTTAGCTTTTAATTTACAAATGAATAGTAGACGTAATTTATTTTTAACATTATAATAAATTTCCTTTGATTTTTTATTTTCTTTGATGAGTTATTTAGTTTACTGATTATTCTTTGTTTAAAGTTCATTGTTTGTGATGTAGAGTTAATGTTGTTCAAAGGTTTATTGTGTACATTTCCATCATGATGGTAAATAGCAACACACAACGTTTCGGTATCTGGAATCTGATCCCGTTTTTAGGTGAAAAAACTTAACTAACACATTACAATTACAATACACAAACGCCCAACCTAAGTTGGAATACACTACAGAAAGTAGCAGTCAAAAATATGAACTGTATAGCAGCATTGAGTATGATAGCAGTCAAGTCAAGATACAATAACATGCAAATAATAACCAATCACAAAACACTATAGTCTATTGTGCATTGTTAGTTGTACAGTAAAGTGTTAGTTAAGTTTTTTCCCATGAGGATGGGAACAGATTCCAGATCCCGAAACGTTGTGTATTGTTTTTTCCATCGTAATGGAAAATGTCCGCAATAAACCTTTGAACAACATTACTGATTATCATATAAATTACTAAATAGGCCCATTTCTTAACGATTGTATGCTTAGTATTTTCATTGTGTTTAAAAACGTAAATAAACAGTCTCATCTTCAAGTGACATTTGTTTACTTAGCCAATAATAATTTTTTTTAATTTCAATATTAGTAATTAGTATCGGTATAAATACCTGTAAAGCATCACATTTACTAATGACTATTTAATCTGAAGTCTGCTTTATCGGAACTTACATAAAACTTACTTATATGTAAGTAACAGATAAAATCTTTAAGCAATATTTAAAGCCGTTCTAGCTTAAAATTCATAACCGGGTCTGATGGAAAGTCTTTAACAAGATTCGCAGCCGCAACTACAAAGGAATCGTCAAAAAGATAAATCTACTGCCATTATTCTCTTCTTTGAGAGATTTTCTCTTTTTTAGCTTTATGTACTGTAGATGCGGAATGAATCCCCATCTGTATTTAGGCTACGCAAATGAAAAATAAATAACGGTACTAACTTATGTTCGTTTTAATTGTTTGATGTACGGTCATCAAAAGAAAAACTACGAAACGTTGTGAAGTCTCATAACAAGTTTTGTGGGATGTATTTATTAGTTATGCATGCAATCTATTGAGTAAAAGTTGCGTTGAAAAAAATTGGAGAGTTTTAGGCAATTATGAGTGAAGTAACAAGCTCTAATCGATAGATCCACATATATTGCTTACGGATTCCAAAGCGCTGGATTACAGAGAAACTAGTCATAATTTTATTTTAACTCTGCCTGTGATTCTCAAGTAATATATAGCAGTATTGATTGTAAAACGTGTCGTGGTTAATTATTTGGAAGAGTTTAAAAAAACAATGGATCCACTAAAAATAAATACTTTGTTTCGCAAAATACCTCTTTTTATTAATTGGAGTCAGCTGTATAAACTCGTGGTCTAAATAGGAATAAGGAACGTAAACTAAAAAAATATAAACATTTTAGGGTTTTTAATTTCGTTGCAATTCATACAATTTGTATTTACTTCCTAAAGCATCACCTTAACATTTTGAAAGTTGTGAGGAAATATGCAACCCATATATATTCATATATTGCACATGGGTGACTATGTCTATGATTTCCCTTGGATTTATAACCCTGTGAAAACTATGATAGTATCACCTCACCCGGGCGTTCTTGTATGACACAAAGACAGACAGACATCTATATTTTTTATAGCAAAATAAATACTGAAAAAATGCTACTTAATATCGATCATTCGCTGATTTACACCAGCCAAACTGTAAATTTCTAATACCGTTTGTCACTATAATTGTTGTACCATACTATTGTTAAACACAAGTTGATGATATTTTTTAAGGTGACATTTGAAGATAAACTCGCTATAGAAAGATGCCTCTCTGTAGAACATTTCTGATGGATGACACGCGCTTTATAAATGTTCACGTCGAGCGTGTCTGAAAGGAGAAATTAATGTTTTGTACAACGTTTGTAACGCTGAAGAAACGTTACTTTTCCTCAGTGGGGAAAATAACATTAAGTACCCTGAAGTGGTTACAGTCTAGACATGTCCAATCAAAAGTTACAGTGCAGTAAAGATGTATTTTATTTTGTATTTATTTATGAACAATTACATTCCCTGAAGTGTACAGAGGGATGCGCAAATCTCAGGGATTTGAAATTTGATATCTAGTTATGCTAAATCATTAAAAATGAAATACTTAATTAGCTACTTGCAATGATTAGACCCAATCATTAATCGATATTTACTAATCAATATTTTAACAAAGAAGTGATTACGAAACGTTTAAAATACTGTCAAACAACCACATGTAATAAATTGTCCTTTCTATTTTCATTTTTGGCTAGAATGTGTCAAATATGTCTTTTATGTTTAAAATCTCAATTCAACGGTATATTTATATTCTTTATCTAAGGTTTAATCACAAATCAAATCACAACGTATTTGTATCGAGCTAATGTTTCTCCAAGAGAAGTTTTCTTTCCTATAGCCGTTCAGGAATTGCCCATTGTGTAACTCCTATGCGTACAGATGAAGTTTCTAAAAAAATATCATTCAAATTTTTGACCTTATTAAAATTGGACAGGGCTAGATTATCCATTGGTTTAAAAAGTATGTGTAGTGGCAAATGATATCTAATTTAAGATTTTTTCCAAGGGATTTTCTTAATCTATTAATATTTATTTCAGGGCGACGTCAGTGACTCACGGGTCAGGCAAAGACCGTTATCATTTACTGGAGACTCAAGGAGCGAATCCCTTACTAGATTCTATAGATCTCTTGATGACGACTTTGGAGGAGAATCAAGTAAGTATATAGCAGTTATTGTATCGTTACTTGTAGATTTTATTATATATAGCAGGGACAAACATTAACTTTATTATTGCAAGAAGACTTGTTAGCCTGTTATAAAATCTGTCTAAGTAGTCTACTTAGGGCTTAAAAGACAACAGTGTTAGCTAAGATTATTGACTTTGAATAATAAAAGTAGATTCGTCCTATGATAAGATCTGAAGCTTGTGTTTCATCCGGTATGTGCACCTGAATTGATGCAAGTAGGGTTGCCTATAGATGCAACCCTGAATTTGTTTAACAAAATGCACATGGAAATTCTTCGTGAGATTTTCTCACTCACTCACTAACTCCCATGGCCATTTATGCCAAAGCGGGATTTGGCCGCTCCAACAACTGATCTCCATTTATCTCTATCTTCTGCCTCTTCCACTGCTGTCCCCACTTCTCTGACGTCCTTGGAGACACTATCCCACCATCTCTTCTCGGTCCTTCCTAATGGTCGTTTCCCTTCTGGCTTTCCTATACTTGCTTCTTTTAATAGTGAACCCTGTTCTCTCCGTAGTGCGTGTCCTGCCCACCTTATTCTCCTTCCTTTCACGTGTGCTACTACATCATAATCATTGTACATATTCCTTATCTCCCTATTACGCCTTTTTCTCCATTCTCCATTTTCTTGTATTGAGCCATATATCATTCTTAAAATTTTGTTTTAAAAAACAATCGTTTTATTATCTTCTTTTTTGTTAAAAATCCAAGTTTTAGCTCCATATGTTAATATTGGTTGAATTATACTATGATATATTTTTATTTTTGTTCTATGCGAGAGAATCTTTGAAGTCAACAATTTCTTACAAGTGTACATACATTTATTGGCCTGAACAATCCTATAATTTATTTCCATTTCTTCACTATTGCTGCTTGGCATAATTACTCCTAGATATTTAAATTGTTTAATTGAACAATTTAAATACTCGTATATAGAAGCTGTTAACAGCTTTAAAAATATGTCCATCGATACTAATTAATTTCATTTGCCCTCATTTCATTTGGCTGTCTCGTGAAGTGTATATATTTTTTCTTCTCATCATTAATTTTTTCTGTTTTTTGTATGAACAGTCTGGTTAGCTCCTCTAGGTCATTTCTGTTTTTTGACAGAATGACTACATCGTCCGCAAAAGCTAGGATGTTTATTTTTGTTCCCATTTCCAAGCCTATATTTGTTTGTCTTACTTGTTGGAGGGCCTCTTCTAAGGCTATGTTAAATAGTATATGTGACAGTCCATCACCTTGCCTTACGCCTGTCCTCACTTCAAAACTTTCTGATAACTCTCCATCTATTTTTACTTTACATTTTGATCCATTCAGGGACATTTCTACTAGTTTTATTAGTTTTCTGGGGATCCCAAACTTTCCCATCACTGTTGAAATACTCTTCCCCTGTCAAGGCTATCATAGGCCTTTGAAATTCTATGAAAAAGTGAGATTTTCTGGAAAAAAAATATTATTGCGAAACCCAAGAAAATCGCAACCTAATTCTCATAGAACTTTAGAATGGACTGGAATATGAAAAACAATAATGCAGGGAGATCAAAATAATTTTAAAACAATTTACCTATTTCGCAGTTTTGAAAAACACCATAAATTATATTTTGTATCGGAAAATGTAAGAGATTGAATTGTACAAGTTAAACAAGCAGAATCGGCTAAAAGCTCAGTTCTGACCCGAACATTGATAGACAGAATTTTGCCATCAACTGCAATATGCTTTTGATTTAGAGGCTTGTTTACCTTGCCTTGATCTCGTGAATCTGAAATTGGAATATTGCATAATCCTTATCCTTCGGTTATGCACAAACACAGAAACCCGTTGCATAAAAATATAAAAACCGATACAATAAAATAAAACGCGTGCATACAAAAGTTATTCAGTTGAGTAAAATTTGTCGTGTACGGTGTTTTACTAGTTTATAAATTGATCCTCGGATGATGTTATCAATATTAATCTTGCTACCAGATACATTACTATCTGCTACGAAATAAAGTTCACTACTTTATTCTTCTTAAACATAAATTGTTGAGCTGCACAAACAACCACTACATTTAGTAACATATACTATTAGCTCATCAAAATGCATTTTTAACTTGATTCTTTGTATTAAAACAGAACATTTATAAATATCCTATGCATTGTACTACTAATATTAATATTCCTCATTCGCGCTTTACCCATGTTTCGCAACGGAGTACAAACACTGCATATTAAGTTCTGTAGTTTTAAGAGCCATTGAAAGCAGGTATCATGGCTAATTTTAAAACTAAGGTACAACCATTAATAAATATCCACACTATAGAATAAAATATTGGTTTTAGCGTTGCTAGATTAACAATTGTTAAATCATAGACAATAGTTTCTTTCCCCTTTTTAAATTGTAGCCAGTTTCAATAAAACAGAATTCTGATGATTTGAGATAAAGAGTGGCTGATAGAAAATGTGGGTTTCTTCATAAGCAGCTTGCTATAGTTCGGTAGTTACTGAAAAAAGATTATCTGCAGAAACGCTTTTAGAACAAGTGGTTAAAACTTATTTGTATATGTTACTTGTAATTCTTCAAAAGTTTAATAAACTTGTACACTTTTGGGTACACTTTTAAGTAAAAGTTTGGTACTGAATGGAAAAATTTACAAAAAGACACACAGAATCTTATGCTAAATCCTCGTGACTTTCCCCAAGCATTTCCCCTATAGAAAACTATTTACTAGCGTATTTTCACCATGTAGTACCACGCCAGAGGTGGATACATTGGTTGAGCACAAACAGTGATCGGTCAAATCACTCGTGGGGTTGTACGATAAGATACGCAAACCAATCCGAACTGGCGACAGACGGATTGGTATACCAATCCTAGGTGTGACTAGCACCAGTGTATAGCGTGGTGTGGTTCGTACCTGGAGTGTAATGGTTAGGAGATTAAATGATGGATTTAGCTGAAATAGTGTGTTCAGTGATAAATAATTGTGATGCGCGATTGTCTACGTGTGTATGAGTGAGTTAAATTGAATTTTATGTTTAAGTGTAAAAAATATAGATCATGGATACCTTTAGGTTATTGTAGTAGCTACAATGGTATAGGTACTAAATTAAAGTTATTTGTGTAGTTTTATGGAGACCAATACACTTGTATTTCCTAAAGCTCTGTGGATTACGGTAAAGCTCTAAAACAAGATATAAATACGCAATTACGTCCTATTTCTTTAGAAATAAAGGGAACGTTTTTAAAATTTAAACTACCCATGGGCTGTTCATATTCAAAACTGCAGTCCATACAGTCCAATTTTTGAGAGTAATGGAACGACAAGCAGTTTAAACAATATTTTTAAATGATTTATGTTATTAAATCAATGGATATTTTGTAGCTAACAACATATTTTTATTACTTTAATATAAAGATGGTTTAAGTTTTACTGACTGCGCTACACGTCCATGAATTCAATAGATTATTTGTTGTTTGTTGAAATTCAGACTGTCAAAACAACTGCCAAATAAACATCGTCAGCCCTTCATAAATATTGTCACCAGTTCAGTCCAATGCTTTTAGCCTGACAATGTTTGAATACTGAGGATGATGGTTTATCTGTACACTTGGTAATTAAGATTATGTTTGTTAATTTTACAATATTTTGTAAGTGGTAGGTATTATCGTTGTGTGGTAAGTTTCAAGTTTGGATTAGGTAAATCTTTTTGTGTTATGACCTACAGAAGCAAATAAAGAATAAACAATAACTGTATTATATGTACAGGGTGTACCACGAAGAGGTTTAAATTAATGATTGATTTTGTGCTTCTTGCCCGTTTATATACCGAACACTTTGACACTTTACACAATATATAAAGTAGGTTAATAATATTCTGGGAAAATTTGAGCTCACTAACCATTGTAGAAACAAAATGGTGGCGTATTGAAAATTTTACCCATTTGTCTCCTGTAAGAATCACCTACTTGAGTTATTATCTGATGTTTTTACTACGTTGCATATTTAACTGTGTGTGACTTATTTGTATGGGGTTACTTGATGGAACAAGCTCATGCCCATAGCTTTAGTAATTATGAGTAACTAAAGCGATTAATTGAAACGGAACTTCTCCGGATACCGCAGAATTTCTTTATAAGAGCTTACTTGCTATTGATTTGTTAATATCTGTTATCAGTGTGTTGCTGAGTATGGATCACAGTTTGAATAATTTTGGACTCTACTCTTATTTCATTAGGCTATGTTCTAGTTTCCTGATAAAAAAAGCTTTATTTGACTAGAATGTGACAATAAGAATATAAAAAAAATAATAATATTTTTCAATATGCCACCATTTAGTTTCTACAAGGGTTATGGAGTTGACATTTTCCCAGAATATTTGTATAAACTACTTTATAAATTGTGTAAAGTTTCAATGTTTCCTGTGTATAAATGGACAAGTAATATAGAATAAAACGTTTAAACCTCTTCGTGGGACACGCTGTATCCCGAGTCTACGATAAAAAACTGTTTTTTCTTACATGGTTAGTATGCATGCTAGTCCATTTACTATTCGCTGTAGAAGCACCGAAGCTAGTTAGCTTATCTAAATATATTCCTGGCCGTTTTATACTTTGTTCCCGGAGGAAGCGTTAAATCAAATACTGCCGAGGAGTTAAGGTGGATCAGGGGATGGAACGTGACTTTTAAGGGTTGTAAATCGCGATTTATTGTGCGAAAAGCGGTTGATCCTGATATATAGGCTAGTTAATGGAGACTAGACGAGATTCTGACTGCTTTAACACCGGTCGTAAAAGTACTTTTCCTGAAATCTCAAAAGGTTACACTTTCAGTAAGCCTACTACTGTACTTAACAACGTGGTAGGTAGGTGAGGGGGTTAGTGTAGGTGAATAGGTATTGTGAGGTTTGTTAGAAAGTATTTGAATCTAGTAAAAAAATGTTGGTGTATGCAAAAGCATTGGCTTTAGAAACTGGAGTAGGG